TCGACACCTGGAGAAGGAACACCACTGGGCGTACAACATCGCCGCAACTGCTCAGCGCCCCCTCCCCCATATCAACACCCCCCTTCCAGTCATCGTCGCTAATCGGGACAACAACAATCCCTCCCAGGTATACTTCGAGTACATCAGGGAGCATCAAGATTAGCGCCTGGGGTTTCTCTTTGTCCGTAGTAGTTGCTGTTCTTTGTATTCTGGGACTTCTCTTTTCTTGGAAAATATCTTTTTGGTTCTCACTCATGCCTGCTGAGCGTAACACCCGCGCCAGAAATAACAATGAAACTTCTAATCTGGATCCGTGCCGTTGTCCTTTGGCTCCTAGGCACAACAATTCTCTGGAGCCTGGTTCCCAAAGAGCGCCAACCCCTTACCCTTCCCACCTCCAAACTTTAGAAGAGTGCTTCACAGCTGGAGTCATAGAGATGCCAGTTCCCAGGCGTCCTATCTTAAGCCTCCCTCCTCAACAAGAATCTGATGACTCTTCTTTAGAATTCCTTGATGAAGGCGGTTTCCATTACCCGTTTCCTCCTTTCCTACCAAACGTCACTCGCCGACCCTTCCTCATTCCAGGACCTCCCGACTCATCCAACAGTAATGCTGTTGTCCTACACCAATTTCCTGGACCCTTGGAAGTGCCTCCGGAATCAGAAGCCACTTCCGGATCTTACCACGTTGTTCCTGCACAGGTTTTCCCAGCGTCCTCACCAATGAATATTTCCTCGTCCCCCAACCCTGATAGTCCTCTCGTTGCATCCACCGACTCACCCAGTATGCCACCTCTCGCTTCAGACGTCTCCGACAATGGTAGCCTCGATCATGTCCCCAATCTACGGCTACTAGCTGATGTCAGCGACTATATCACCGCCACAGAAGGATATAGCAGCGACCCACAGGAATTCGTGGTCTACAGCGATGACGTTATCCGGCGACCCTCCCTTGATGTCACACAATCCTGGCGATCCATTCCCTTCGACACCTCCACTCCTATCCAGGATGCTGATCCTTTGGAACGCGTACTCCCTCGTTTCCCTGGGGCCTATGCAACCACAGTCACTCGACCTCCTATGGGTGTTCCCATCAATGGAAATCCGGCCTTCGGACTACGCCGCGTATCAACTACTCCAGCAGATGTACTTTGAGTCGCTGAACCTGTGGGGAATTGGAACCAATCGGATAAGGAATGGGAGGAGGACACTTGCGAGTACCTGCTGACGCGGGATGACAACCTCTTGGAGAGTCTTTGGGCTTTGTTACAGGATATCAAAGATCCTGGAGTTACCAATGAAGTCAATCGCTTCAGGGCTGTTGACGCCAAAATCGACTTACTACTGGCAGCACGACACTCGGTAGGGGCTGAACTTATTCGTGCTCAAAAGGAAATGGACGAATGCCGTGCTCGTCTCAAGGCAGCCAACCTGGAGGAACGCCTAGAACAGCATGAGTTCTCCATTATCAATCCCCCTTCCGGTGCCATGCCTCGCCAGCTCTGCTTCTGTACCAGATGCGAGACCGACGGTCATCTTCAGAGTGAGTGCTGGAATTGGGTATGCTCTACATGTCGACTCCTACATCCTCGCTATCCCTTCAACAACGGCTTGGAACCAGGACAGGTACCCTGTCCCGCTGAGGAACCTGGATATTTACAAGAGCGTCGAGCCCAGTGGAGACTCTGATGACAAATCTAGAGAGGGGGGTAATGTTACGGCTTGGAGGGGGGTTTCCTTTTCTTTCCTAACTATTCATCATTGACCCTGTACTATACTACTGATCCCATCACTTGATGCTTCATCAC